ATGTGGGGCAGAAGTTTGTGGTTATAGGAGGGTGGGGGCAGGAGGAAAAAGGAGTGATTGGTGGAATGATGAAGTAAAGGGTGTGATAAAAGAGAAAAAGGTAGCTTATGAGAGGTTTTTACAAAGCAGAAGTGTTATAAGAAGAGCAGAGTATATGGAGAGTAAAAGAAAGGTAAAGAGAGTGGTGAGAGAGTGCAAAAGGAGAGCAGATGATAGAGTGGGAGAGGCACTGTCAAGAAATTTTAATGAAAATAAGAAAAAATTTTGGAGTGAGTTAAACAAGTTAAGAAAGCCTAGGGAAAAAAATGGATTTGTCAGTTAAAAACAGAGTAGGGGAGTTAGTAGATGGGGAGATGGAGGTATTGGGTAGATGGCGAGAATATTTTGAGGAACTTTTAAATGTTAAGGAAGAAACAGAGGCAGTAATTTCATGCACTGGTCAGGGAGGTATACCATCTTTTAGGAGTGAAGAAGAGCAGAATGTAAGTGTGGGGAGGTACGTGAGGCATTAAGTAAAATGAAAGGGGGTTTAAAGCAGCTGGAACTGATGGGATCATGACAGAAATGTTAAAAGCAGGGGGGATATAGTGTTGGAGTGGTTGGTACTTTTGTTTAATAAATGTATGAAAGAGGGAAGGATACCTAGGGATTGGCAGAGAGCATGTATAGTCCCTTTATATAAAGGGAAAGGGGACAAAAGAGACTGTAAAAATTATAGAGGAATAAGCTTACTGAGTATACCAGGAAAAGTGTACGGTAGGGTTATAATTGAAAGAATTAGAGGTAAGACAGAATGTAGGATTGCGGATGAGCAAGGAGGTTTTAGAGTGGGTAGGGGATGTGTAGATCAGGTGTTTACATTGAAGCATATATGTGAACAGTATTTAGATAAAGATAGGGAAGTTTTTATTGCATTTATGGATTTAGAAAGGCATTGATAGAGTGGATAGAGGAGCAATGTGGCAGATGTTGCAAGTATATGGAATAGGTGGTAAGTTATTAAATGCTGTAAAGAGTTTTTATGAGGATAGTGAGGCTCAGGTTAGGGTGGTAAAGGGAAGGGGGAACTTTTCCCCGGTAAAGGGGTTTTAGACAGGGATGGTAATTCCCCATGGTTGTTTAATATATTTTAGAGGGGGGTTGTAAAGGAAGTAAATGCTGGGGTTTGGAGAGGGGTGGGATTTAAAATTTTGGGGAACAAAATTCAAAATGGGAAAATTGACACAGTTACTTTTTTCTGATGATACGTGCTTATGGGGGGGTTTTTTTAAAAAAAAATTGCAAAGGTTAGTGGAGAGTTTGGGAATGTGTGTAAAAGGTAGAAAGTGAAATAACTAGAAAAAGGGAAGGTGATGAGGGGTGTCAAATGATTTAGATAAAGAAAAATTGGATATCAAAAAGGGGGGGAGGGGTTGAAGAAGTGAATGTTTTTTGATACTTGGGAGTTGACGTGTCGGGGGATGGATTTATGAAGGGTGAGGTTAACATTTTGAATTGATGGGGGAAAAAAGGGGGATGGTGCGTTGGGTATATGTGGAGTCAAAAAAAATTTTTATGGGGGCAAAGAAGGGAATGTATGAAAGTATATAGTACCAACACTCTTTATGGGTGTGAAACTTTGGGGGGTAAATGCCCGCCGAGGAGACGGTTGGAGGCACGAATTCCTGTTTAAGGGAAAAGTGTGGTGTAAAATTATGCAGAAAAATTTGGGTGTGGAAATTTTTGGAGAAGGTGTGGAGTTAATAAAGTATTAGTCAGAGGGCAGAAGAGGGGTTTTTTGAGGTGGTTTGGGATTTAAGAGAAGGATAAGTAAATGCATGGAAAGCATATAAATCTATAGGGGGAAAGGGGGGGTAGGGGTCTCCTCGAAAGGGTTGGAGAGAGGGGGTAAAGGGGTTTTGTGGGGAAGGGGCTTGGGACTTCCAGCAAGCGTGCGTGGCGTGGTTTGATAGGAGTGAATGGGGACGAAGGTACTTGGGACCTGGATCTTTGGAGTTGAGCAGGGGAATATTTTGTAAGGGATTTAGGGAAACCCCGGGTTTTTTTCATATAGTCGGACTTGAGTCCGGGAAAAGGGGAAGTACAATGCCTGCACTTTAAAGGAGGGGGTTTTGGGATTTGGGAGTTTGGGGGGTTTTGTTGTGTACTTTTTATGTTTATCTTCTAACTTTTTTTTCTGACACCTCTGCAAAAACATGATAAGTGCGAGTGTGGTAAAGTGTTGAATGATGATGAAAGTATTTTCTTTTTGGGGATTTTCTTTCTTTTTTTGGGTCACCCTGCCTCGGTGGGAGACGGCCGACTTGTTGAAAAAAAAAAAAAAAAAAAAAATTCAGGGAAACCGGTTATTTTTATATAGCCGGACTTGAGTCCTGGAAATGGGAAGTACAATGCCTGGACTCTAAAGGAGGGGTTCCGGATATTACCAGTTTGGAGGGATATGTTGTGTATCTTTATAGGTATATGCTTCTAAACTGTTGTGTTCTGAGCACCTCTGCAAAAACAGTGATTATGTGTGAGTGAGGTGAAAGTGCTGAATGATGATGAAAGTATTTTCTTTTTGGGGATTTTCTTTCTTTTTGGGTCACCCTGCCTCGGTGGGAGACGGCTGACTTGTTGAAAAAAAAAAAAAAAATCATTATTGAAACTACTGTAATTAGAGTAAAACTAATGTCTGCTATAAACAAAGAAGATGTATAACTTAAACAACTATGATCAATTTCTTTAGTATTAACCCTTTGACTGTCGCGGCCGTATATATATGTCTTACGAGGTACCGTGTTTGACGTATACATACTCATAAATTCTAGCGGCTTCAAATCAAGAAGGAGAAAGTTGGTAGGTCCACATGTGAGAGAATGGGTCTGTGTGGTCAGTGTGCACCATATAAAAAAAATCCTGGAGCACGCAGTGCATAATGAGAAAAAAAAAAACTCCGACCGTTTTTTTTTAATTAAAATGCCGACTTTGTGATCTATTTTCGTATAGTATTTATGGTTGTATTCTCGTTTTCTTGGTCTCATTTGATAGAATGGAAAACATATTATAGAAATAGAAGTGATTTTGATTGATTTTACTATAAAAAGAACCTGGAAATGGAGCTCAAAGTAAGGGAAATGTTTGATTTTTGCCGATGTTCAAAAGTAAACATATGATGTCATTGTCCAATAAATGTCCACCTAGCCATTCTAATATGCAGTCATGAATGGGTTGATGTTATTTACACAATTATTATAGTATTGCAGTAGTCTGCATAATAGGAAATCTTCTATTTTTTGTTTGAATAAAAATTCAAAATAGAAAGCAAGAGTAATATCAGAGGGGCCTGGAGACATGACTGATGTTCGACTGCAACAATGGAATTAGCCAAAAATAGGGCTCAAAGTGGGCAAAATCGCCGATTTGTAAATATCGCCAAGGTCGCTAACTTCACGAGAGCGTAATTCCGTCAGTTTTCCATCAAATTTCTTTTTTTTTTTTTGATGTCATTACAATCGGGAAAAGATTCTCTATCATTTCATAAGAAATTTTTTTTTTTCTTTTTTTTTTGAAATTTTGCGACACCAGGAGACACCTCAGGATTGGGGGTTGCGACAGTCAAGGGGTTAAGTAGTATATAAGCCATTAAATTAAGTCTGCCCATAATGCCTAGGCATGACAGTGGCTCTCTTTGCACTGTACCCCATCATTGTAATTTCATAATCTCAATGTAACCTTGCAAAGAAATAAAATTTGTTTGTTGTTTGTTTATACGTAGGGTAAATTACCTAGGATAACCCAAAAAATCCAGACAAAGTGCTATACTGTGCTTGTAGATATAAGGCATAATAAGCATGACTGGTAAGTAATATGCATTTTCACTTGTTCAGGAATCAGACGTGACGACTCTGCATCGTGTGTAATACCTGTTTGTGAGCGGCTCTCTGAGACAGAAGGAGAGACAAGCACACATAGAGACAGGAAGACACAGTAAGACAGAAAAGCAGAGACAGAGCTAGACAGACAGAAAAATATAGATAGACAAACAGATAGACATGTTTATATGTAACAGGGAAAACAAATAAAGCCAGGGTAGTGCACGATCATCAAGTGGAGTGACACTCGTCTTACACCGTGCTTCAAAGAGTTTCATATATTCTCCAGCATGTCTAAAACATTGTTGGGACCTATAAATACTTTGTATATATTTCTAGACAATAGTATGTGACCAAGGGAGGTGAAAATGTTCACCTGTCAGTGTGTTTGTGACTATTTGAGTACTATTTCAGTACCTAATATTAGTGTCAGAACAAACATTGGCTATGAAATCACAAGAACTACTACAAATTGTAATTATTAGATCATAAAAATTATATAAACAACAACAACAACAACAACAACAAAAAAACACTTCTGCAAGCGGAAGGACTCCATGTTGCCGTCAGATGAGAATCCAGCGCCAACTTTGCAGTCTTATATCTCAGTAAGTACTGCCCCCCCCCCAATTTTTGTTTTTTGGTCTTATTACACACAGAAAATTACCCTCTTTAATTAAAAAAATAATTTTTTTTTGAATACTCAGAGCACTGGGCGAGAGAACGTACATCTACTATTGGACAGTTAACAGGTTAAAGGGACTTATAAATCGCGTGAAAATAATTAATTAAATTTCACCCTGACATCATCCTTTGATAGTACCTTGTATTGTTCATATACTACATCCCTTACACCATTACACATCACTAATAAAAACCTGCATTTATTAAAAATCTGTTGGCTTTATCACTCAATTATCTACGGTAGGCTATCAACGATTATCTTACTATTAGAGATATATAAACCTGTCAGCTTCTAAATAACAAAAAGGCACAATACCGTGACTGGAACGATACACAAATAACCCGCACATAAAAGAGAGAAGCTTACGACAACGTTTCGGTCCGACTTGGACCATTGACAAAGTCGTCGTAAGCTTCTCTCTTTTATGTGCGGGTTATTTGTGTACTGTTAGCTTCTCTTACCTCATTGTTAGTAGATGGTGACTCGCTGTTCATACCCCTCAAGTCTTGAGGCCCCTGCCAGAGGAAAACAAATTACTTTTGATGTAAGAAAAAAGCACAACATAAAAATTAGCCCACCAATTTTTTGTTTTAATATTCTGGCCATCTTCCACCAAGGTATGGTGACTCACAAAGAAGAAAATACTTTCGTTGTCACTTACTGAATTACTGTCTTGCCAGAAGAGTGCCAACATCATAGTACAGATGCTATCTACTATTCTGGTGAACTAGAATGTATTAAATCTGCCTGCTCCAGGCATGAAAATGGTGAATATATATTTGCAAAATTCTCATCCAAAAACCTAAAAAGAAAAAAAAAATATATATATATAACTGTTGAAGTAATCTACAGATTACCTCACACTAATCCTTATACAGTTAGTGATACCCTAAAAAAACATTATAACTGACTAAGAATTGAACAAGCATCACCTGATACTAATAGGTGACTTCAACATAAACCTCATCCAAGCAGCTGACTCTAAAGTAGCCAATTTCACACACTATGAACAACTGCTTGCTCCTACTATCTATAACTAAGCCAATAAGAATCTCTGAGGCAAGTGCCTCTTTACTTGACTATGTCTGGACCAACGCTATATCCCCACTAAAAGCAGGGATAATCACAGATAACACCACAGACCACTACCCCACCTTTATCATAACCAACTTATGTAAATTGCCTCGAGACAGGAGTAAGATCTCTTTCCGACTACATGATGAGTCATCAGTAACTAACTTTATTTCAGCATTAAGTGACATTGACTGGCAGAGAGATCAAGCCAACAGTCATGATATTGATGAATGTCAAATTTTTTTCTTCAAAAAAACCCAAAATCTCTATAACAGGCATTGTCCAATTAAAACAAAGCAGATTACAGCAGAGACTAAACAGCCCATGGCTTACAAATAGTATCCTCAAATCCATTGATAAGAAACATCTACTGAGAAACAATTCATACCGGATCTAATAACAAAAGAACAGACAAAATGATACACCTAAATACTTACTAATCTAATACAGAAGTCTAAACAACTGTATTATGAAAGCAGATACTCTATATCTACCACCAACAAACCCTACTGAAGTCTCACTCATCATCAAATCACTAAAAATTAAGACAGGAGACCTGAATAACTTGCCACCACTTATGTATAAAAAACCACTCATGTGCTGTTACCCATTACTGCATATCTAACAAATCTGTGGAATCTTCAACCTTCCATCCATACTCAAGACAGTAAGGGTTACCCCGATCCTCAAAGGAGGCACTCCAACTAAACTGAATAACTATTGACCTATACTGAACTTGCCCTTACTATCTAAAATCTTTGAAAAAATAATACACAAGTGAATTTACTCCTTCCTATTATCCCACAATGTACTTAACCCCTGCCAGTTTGGATTTAGGCCGAAAAAGGTACGAATGATGCAATTATACAAGTGCTTGAATATCCCCTGGGACTCTTCACAGACCTGCAGAAAGCACTTGATACAGAAGACCACACTCTCTTGTACCTAAAACATGAACATTATGGTGTCAGAGGACACTCCCTCGATTACCTAAAATCTTGTGTTAGTAAAAGACACCAGTACAGCGGAACCTTGGCACTCGAACTTAATTCATTCCAGAAGGCTGTTCGAGTGCTGATCTGTTTGAGCAATGAACGATTTTTTCCCAACAAATTTTCCTTTTGGTTGGCTGTTATCACTAACTCTCTTAGGCCCCATGGTGACTTATTTAAACAATATAGAAAAACACCAAAAAATGCGAGGAAACACGAAATAGTTTACAGCAAAGTTCTGGCAGGTCATGTTTGTTTGGTCGAGTGTTGAGGAAACGGTCGATAACCGAGTAATTTGTTTACTGAACAAAGAGTTCGAATACCAAATTGTTCGAGTACCAAGGTTCCACTGTATGTACACACAAATGAGTTTCTTTCAACACACCGGCCGTATCCCACCGAGGTGGGGTGGCCCAAAAGAAAAAACAAAAGTTTCTCCTTTTACATTTAGTAATATATACAGGAGAAGGGGTTACTAGCCCCTTGCTCCCGGCATTTTAGTCGTCTATTACAGCATGCATGGTTTACGGAGGAAGAATTCTGTTTCACTTCCCCGTGGAGATAAGAGGAAATAAACAAGAATAAGAACTAGAAAGAAAATAGAAGAAAACCCAGAGGGGTGTGTATATATGTGCTTGTACATGTATGTGTAGTGTGACCTATGTGTAAGTAGAAGTAGCAAGACGTACCTGAAATCTTGCATGCTCATGAGACAGAAAAAAAGGACACCAACAATCCTACCATCATGTAAAACAATTACAGGCTTTCGTTTTACACTCACTTGGCAGGATGGTAATACCTCCCTAGGTGGTTGCTGTCTACCAACCTACTACCTAGGACAAATGAGTTACCTCCACTATTCAGCCTGTAGTTGTTGGAGTCCCACAGGGTAGTGTCCTTGACCCACTACTCTTTTTCATTTACATCAATGACCTCCCCAAAGCATCTAAACTCCTTAAACCAGTTCTACTCACAGATGACACAACTTATGTCTTCTCCCACTCAAACCTGGCTATGCTTAGATCTAAGACACTGTTAACACCAAGCTACTAAAAATATCTATGTATGAGTGATGGTGAAAGTGTTGGATGATGAAGGTTTTTTCTCTCTTTTGGGTTTTTTCTTTCTTTTTGGGTCACCCTGCCTTGGTGGGAAATGGTTGACATGTTAAAAAAAAAGAAAATGGCTATATACAAGGTGAAGAAAACAAGCTCACCAAATGCTACTTTTGAGAAGATTGCAACCTAAAGAAAAACAACCAATTTGCCAAATGTCACTTTTGAGAATACAGTGGACCCCTGGTTAACGATATTTTTTCACTCCAGAAGTATGTTCAGGTGCCAGTACTGACCGAATTTGTTCCCATAAGGAATATTGTGAAGTAGATTAGTCCATTTCAGACCCCCAAACATACACATACAAACGCACTTACATAAATACACTTACATAATTGGTCGCATTCGGAGGTAATCGTTATGCGGGGGTCCACTGTATTTCAGAGCAACATTTGCAGTATGTTTGCAATAATACTTTGATAACCAACTATATAATATTGATCAAACTGGTCTCATTTTAAAGACTGATTAACATTTTTTGTATAGAAAATGCAATTTTCACTCACTAGCAAGTTCATTGGTTGTCTTGCCAGCACCTCACATCTTGTCTTACCTCTGGGTTAGTAGATGATGGGAGTGCTTGCAGAGACCTGGAGTCTGCAGTCTTCAAATCAGGAAACCTTACATTTGGAAACAGCTGTTGAAGGAGAACTAATCAGAAACAAAAATCAGCATGGTCATTCCAAAAGATTAAATATGATGGGTGATGCCTGATATTATTTTTAGATATGCAAATGCATTACTAAATGTAAATGTGGTGTGAATATTATACAAAGAATTTGGAATATGGAATTTAGAAGAGGGTAGGCAGTTACCAAAAGTATAGTTCAGAGAGTTGAGGAGGGGTTGTTAAGGTGGGTTGGGAAGTTGGAGAGGACAGAGTTGGATAAAATGACTAAGAAGGTGTAGAGATTTCAGATGGAAGGAAGGTGGGGTAGGGGTTGTCCCAGGAAGGGTTGGAGGTTTTGAGTGCTAGGGGCTTGAATATACAGCAGGCTTGTGAAAGTACATTACATCTCATAAGGTTATTTCTTGCATTTTGGCTTTCCCATCTGTCAGAGGTGACTGTGGGAGTAGAAGTATACTAGTGTGAAATAGAACTAACTTTGAAGTGCTGAGATCAAGTGAAGATGGTATCCTTCTTTAACCCTTTCAGGGTCCAGAGGCCAAATTTCAAAGGGTGCACCAGTGTCCAAGAATTTTCAAAAAATAATTTTGTTATTTTTTCTTATGAAATGATAGAGAATCTTTTTCTGAAGGTAATAAAACAAAAAGTACAAAATTTGATGGAAAACTGACGAAATTATCCACTCGCGAATTTTGATGTGTCAGTGATATTTACGCATCGGCGATTTTGCAGACTTTGACTCCCATTTTAGGCCAAGTACATTACTCCAGTCGACTAAATTCTTAGATACTTCACTAGTATTACTTCTATTCTATCGATTGAGCACAAGAATTTGCCAAGTCAACTGTTTCAACTACAAAATAAAGTGATCGGATATTGGTAATTTGGCCAATTTAATGCAAAGTTCAAAATACTCCAGTTTCAAAATAGGGTCCAGAATAAGCAATGCAGGCATTCCTGGCACTAAACTAACATTTCCTCTGTTCATTAGTTATGTTTTCAGGCTTTACTAATGAATTCCAATTTGATTTTTTATTCACATAATGAATTTTTATTCAAACCAAAAAATAGAAGATTTACTGTTATGCAATATTGTAATAATTGTATAAATAATATCAGCACATTTGTGAACGTATATTAGACCCACCAGCTGACGTGTATTAGACGTGTGAGGTCGTTTGTTTACTCTTGAACATTGGCAAAAATTTAACATTTCCGCTACTTTGAGCTCAGTTTCAAGCCATTTCCAGTACTAAAACCAATCAAAATCATCTCTATTTCTGTAATGTGTCTTCCATTCTATCAAATGAGACCAAGAAATCGCAAATACAACTATAAAAAACATACGAAAAAACACTGCAAAGTCGCTGTTTTAATCGAAAATTATGGTCTCAGTTTTTTCTCTCATTATGCACTATGTGCTGTAGGATTTATTTTATGTTGTGCACACATACCACATAGATGTATTCATTCATATCAAGGCCAAAATTTACCACTCACAGCTTATCAGAGTGAGCTGAGCTCATGATGTAGATCTACGGTTTGGACCCTCAACGTAAAGCCGTAGATCTATGGCACGGACCCTCAAGGGGTTACGATAAATAATGAAAACAAGATTCCAAGAACACTAGGGGTTCCACATAGACTCTGTGTTAAGGCTTGAGACACAACTGTGACAAGTGTTTTTATTAAGATTCCCCAGCTAAAAAAAAATATTGGGAATGGGAGATGAAGGACATAATACTAATTAAGAACAATGAATCAGTTTAAGTATTAACCCTTTCAGGGTCCGTCCCGTAGATCTACGGCTTTACGGTGAGTGTCCAAACCGTAGATCTACGCCATGAGCTCAGCTCACTCTGATAAACTGTGAGTGGTACATTTGGGCCTAGATATGAGAGAATACATCTATGTGGTATGTGTGCACCACATAAAACAGATCCTGCAGCACACTGTGTATAATGAGAGAAAAAACTTAAATCATGATTTTTCGATTAAAACAGCAACTTTGCAGTGTTTTTTCGTATGTTTTTTATAGTTGTATTTGCGATTTCTTGGTCTCATTTGATAGAATGGAAGACATATTACAGAAATAGAGATGATTTTGATTGGTTTTAGCACTGGAAATGGCTTGAAACTGAGCTCAAAGTAGCGGAAATGTTAAATTTTTGCCGATATTCAAGAGTAAACAAACGACCTCACACGTCTAATACACGTCAGCTGGTGGGTCTAATATACATTCACAAATATGGTGATGATATTTATACAATTATTACAATATTGCATAACAGTAAATCTTCTATTTTTTGGTGTGAATAAAAATTCATTATGTGAATAAAAAATCAAAATGGAATTTATTTGTAAAGCCTCAAAACATAACTAATGAACAGAGGAAATGTTAGTTTAGTGCCAGGAATACCTACATTGTTTATTCTGGACCCTATTTTGAAATTGGAATATTTTGAACTTTGTGTTAAATTGGCCAAATTAACAATTTCCGATCACTTTATTTTGTAGTTGAAACAGTTGACTTGGCGATTTCTTGTGCTCAATCGATAGAATAGAAGTAATACTAGTGAAATAGCTAAGAATTTGGTTGATTGTAATAATGTAATTGGCCTAAAATGGGAGTCAAAGTCAGCAAAATCGCCGATTCGTAAATATCGCTGACACATCAAAATTCGCGAGAGCATAATTTCTTCAATTTTCCACCAAATTTCGTACTTTTTGTTTTATTACCTTCACAAAAAGATTCTCTACGATTTCATAAGAAAAAATAACAAATTTTTTTTTTGAAAATTCTTGGACACTGGTGCGTGACTCCAGATTTGGGCCTTGGACCCTGAAAGGGTTAATACATACTTAAAATTGCACCACTCAATATCTATGTCTTGTCTTAAGTAGCCTGTAAGCAATAGGATTAATCTGCCTGAAATGCTCATGCATGCTAGTGGCTTTCTTTGTGCTTAACAATATTGTATTACATGTAAACTACATTTGTATACTGCATAAAGAAATAAAATTTGCTTGTTTGTAAGTGGTTTGTAATTGTGAGCAAAGTAACATTTATAAAGGAATTCAGGGAAACCAGTCAGCCATACTTGACTCCTGGAGGAAGTGCCTGATGCTGCAGTGCAGAAGGTCATTTGAACTGTGAGGTCTGTGCACTACTGGCAAGACAGCTATTGACTTAGTGATGGTGACTGTGTTCCCGCTTTTTTTTCAGGTCACTCTACCTAAGTGGGAGATGACCAGTATATTCAAGAAATTATTAAATAAAGAAACTGAAAAGTCAGGGAAAGTGGAACATGGTGTAATGCCATTCAGAATTTTTAAATGAAAAATTTTCATGGAATGTGGAACACAAGTTCAATGTTTCTGCTGGTAGGGACTAGTTTACCCTCACTGCCACTCCACACTCACCCACTGTCACCCCACACTCACTCACAGTCACCCTACACTCACCCATGGTCACCCCACACTCACCTCACTGTCACCCCATGCCCAACTCACTGTCACTCTACACCCAACCCACCATCACCACACATCCAATTCAACATCACCCCCACACTCAACTCACCATCACCCCACACCCAATTCACTTTCACCCCACACCCAACTCACCATCACCACACCCAACTCACCATCACCCCACACTCAACTCACCATCACCACACCCAACTCACCATCACCACACACCCAACTCACCATCACCACACCTAACTCACCTTGTTATGAGGTTCCCTCCTATACGATGCAGCCAGGACATTCTTCTTGTGCTTTTCGCCCTCTACATGTTGCACCAAGGGCCTGGCTCCCGTCAGTGGCACCCTGCAAGAGTTGCAGTAGTAAGCAGGACCAGTCCTGGACATTTCTCCCTCTGAAACGATGCCATTACGAACTGCATCTTCAGCTTCTGGTGAGAGTGGCTGCATGTTGCCAAACATTGTGTTGAGACTTCTATTCGGTGCTGGATCCTGGAGAATATTAATGATGATAATAATGCATGTAGTTATAATGGCTGTTGAAGATCATGTCGCCTGTACACCAAAAAATTAAGGGTTAAAGTAAACTCTCAGTATATATACACTGAGAAACAAAATGAATAAAAGGGCACAATACCATGGCTGGAACAATAAACAAATAACCTGCATATAGGAGAAAGAAACTTATGATAGTGTTTTGGTCTGACTTGGACAATTAACTAACGACTAGTTAATGATGAAAGTCAGACCGAAACATTGTCTTAAGTTTCTTTCTCCTATGTGTGGGTTATCTGAGCACTGATATATATATATACAGTGGACCCTTGACTAACGATATTAATTAGTACCCGAGAACGAATATCGTTAGTCGAGTTTTTTTAGCATTAGCTGAAGCAAAATGTTAGCGTTAAAATGTATCGCTAGTCAGATTTAACGTTATACAATGTCATCATTGGTCGAGGGTCCACTTGTGTGTATATATATATATATATATATTAATATATATATATATATATATATATATATATATATATATATATATATATATATATATATATAATTTTATATTTTCAACAAGTCGGGCGTCTCCCACCGAGGCAGGGTGACCCAAAAAAGAAAGAAAATCCCCAAAAAGAAAATATAACTGTTTTTGCAGAGGTGCTCAGAATACAACAGTTTAGAAGCTTACACATATAAAGATACACAACATATCCCTCCAAACTGCCAATATCCCAAACCCCTCCTTTAAAGTGCAGGCATTGTACTTCCCATTTCCAGGACTCAAGTCCGACTATATGAAAATAACCGGTTTCCCTGAATCCCTTCACTAAATATTACCCTGCTCACACTCCAACAGATCGTCAGGTCCCAAGTACCATTCGTCTCCATTCACTCCTATCTAATATGCTCACGCACGCTTGCTGGAAGTCCAAGCCCCTTGCCCACAAAACCTCCTTTACCCCCTCTCTCCAACCCTTTCGAGGACGACCCCTACCCCGCCTTCCTTCCCCTATAGATTTATATGCTTTCCATGTCATTCTACTTTGATCCATTCTCTCTAAATGACCAAACCACCTCAACAACCCCTCTTCTGCCCTCTGACTAATACTCTTATTAACTCCACACCTTTTCCTAATTTCCACACTCCGAATTTTCTGCATAATATTTACATCACACATTGCCCTTAAACAGGACATCTCCACTGCCTCCAACCGTCTCCTCGCTGCTGCATTTACCACCCAAGCTTCACACCCATGTAAGAGTGTTGGTACTACTATACTTTCATACATTCCCTTCTTTGCCTCCATAGATAACGTTTTTGACTCCACATATACCTCAACGCACCACTCACCTTTTTTTCCCTCATCAATTCTATGATTAACCTCATCCTTCATAAATCCATCCGCCGACACGTCAACTCCCAAGTATCTGAAAACATTCACTTTTTCCATACTCCCCCTCCCCAATTTGATACCCAATTTGTCTTTATCTAAATCATTTGATACCCTCATCCCCTTACTCTTTTCTATGTTCACTTTCAACTTTTCTACCTTTAAAACACATTCCCAAACTCATCCACTAACCTTTGCAATTTTTTTTTAGAATCTCCCCATAAGCACAGTATCATCAGCAAAAAGTAACTGTGTCAATTCCCATTTTGAATTTGATTCCCCAAAATTTAATCCCACCCCTCTCCCAAACACCCTAGCATTTACTTCCTTTACAACCCATCTATAAATATATTAAACAACCATGGTGACATTACACATCCCTTGTCTAAGACCTACTTTTACTGGGAAGTAGTCTCCCTCTCTTCTACACACCCTAACCTGAGCCTCACTATCCTCAAAAACTCTTTACAGCATTTAATAACTTACCACCTATTCCATATACAGTGGACCCCGGTTTAACGATTTTAATCCGTTGCAAGAGGGGTAATTGTTATGCGAAATAATCGGTATGCGAATGAATTTTCCCCATAAGAAATAATGGAAATCAATAATCGTGCAAGACACCCAAAAGTATAAAAAAAAAAATTTTTACCACATAAATATACATTTTCCACACAAAAGAAAGGATACATGCACAATAGTTAGAGTAGTACATGCACAGTATATATTGTGCATGTACTAGTCTACTAAATGAAGAATAAAATGACACTTACCTTTATTGAAGATGCAGCAATGACTGATGAGACACTGTGTCCTGGGAGTGCCTTTTCCTCTGAGTACTGTAGGTCCTGTTTGGCATTTTCTTCCAGAACGGGCCTTATCACACTGTGTATGCCACTACGATTCTTAAATCTCTCAAACCAACCTTTGCTGGCTTTAAATTCACCAATATGAGCACTAGTTCCAGGCATTTTTTCCCTGTTCACCTGGGTGTTAGTCGACTTGTGTGGGTTGCATCCTGGGAGACAAGATTAAGGACCCCAATGGAAATAAGTTAGACAGTCTTCGATGACACTGACTTTTTTGGGTTATCCTGGGTGGCAAATCCTCTGGGGTTAATTGTTTCTTGGTATTCTCAATAAGCCACACCAACAACGGTGCTACAGCAGCAGCAGCAGCTGACAGTGCGCAGCAGCAGCAGCAGCAGCTGACAGTGCAGCAGCAGCAGCAGCAGCTGACAGTGCAGCAGCAGCAGCAGCAGCTGACAGTGCAGCAGCAGCAGCAGCAGCTGTACCACCAATAGTAGCGATGGTTGATTGGGGTTTATTATAAAACCCTGGCCAGCTCGGAGACATGCACTCCACTTTCATACTTATCAATGATCTTTTTCTTCATCTCTATTGTAATTCTCACCCTTATTGCTGTAGGGTTGGCACTAGAAGCTTTCATGGGGCCCATGGTCACTTATTTTCCAGAAAAAGCACCGAAAACACTGTAATAATACGAAATATTCCGATTGTATGCTTGGATGTTACCGCGGAGGCTGGCTGGTAAACAATACCACCGGCGGAACATGTGAGCGTGGCTCAGGCCGCACATTGGACGCGTCTCGGACGAAAATCGGTAAGCGGGTTTTTAAGCGGTATGTGAGGCAAAATTTTTGCGATTAAAGCAAGCGGTATGCGGATTAATCGCTATGTGATGCCATCGTTATGCGGGGGTCCACTGTACTTGCAACATCTGCCACATTGCTCCTCTATCCACTCTATCATATGCCTTTTCTAAATCCATAAATGCAATAAAAACTTCCCTAACTTTATCTAAATACTGTTCACATATATGCTTCAATGTAAACACTTGATCTACACATCCCCTACCCACTCTGAAACCTCCTTGCTCATCCACAATCCTACATTCTGTCTTACCTCTAATTCTTTCAATTATAACCTTACCATACACTTTTCCTGGTATACTCAGTAAACTTATTCCTCTATAATTTTTACAGTCTCTTTTGTCTCCTTTCCCTTTATATAAAGGGACTATACATGCTCTCCGCCAATCCCTAGGTACCTTCCCCTCTTTCATACATTTTAAACAAAAATACCAACCACTCCAACACTATATCCCCCCCTGCTTTTAACATTTCTGTCATGATCCCATCAGTTTCAGCTGCTTTACCCCCTTTCATTCTACGTAATGCCTCACGTACCTCCCCACACTTACATTCTGCTCTTCTTCACTCCTAAAAGATGGTATACCTCCCTGACCAGTGCATGAAATTACTGCCTCTGTTTCTTCCTTAACATTTAAAAGTTCCTCAAAATATTCTCGCCATCTACCTAATACCTCCATCTCCCCATCTACTAACTCCCCTACTCTGTTTTTAACTGACAAATCCATACTTTCCCTAGGCTTTCTTAACTTGTTTAACACTCACTCCAAAATTTTTCTTATTTTCATTAAAATTTCTTGACAGTGCCTCTCCCACTCTATCATCTGCTCTCCTTTTGCACTCTCTCACCACTCTCTTTAACCTTTCTTTTACTCTCCATATACTCTGCTCTTCTTATAACACTTCTGCTTTGTAAAAACCTCTCATAAGCTACTTTTTCTCTTTTATCACACCCTTAAACTTCATCATTCCACCAATCACTCCTCTTTCCTCCTGCCCCCACCCTCCTATAACCACAAACTTCTGCCCCACATTCTAATACTGCATTTTTAAAACTATTCCAACCCTCTTCAACCCCCCCACTACTCATCTTTGCACTAGCCCACCTTTCTGCCAATAGTCGCTTATATCTCACCCGAACTTCCTCCTCCCTTAGTTTATACACTTTCACCTCCCTCTTACTTGTTGTTGCCACTTCCTCTTTTCCCATCTACCTCTTACTCTAACTGTAGCTACAATTAAATAATGATCCGATATATCAGTTGCCCCTCTATAAACATGTACATCCTGGAGTCTACCCATCAACCTTTTATCCACCAATACATAATCTAATAACTACTTTCATTATGTGCTACATCATACCTTGTATATTTATTATCCTCTTTTCATAAAATATGTATTACTTATTACCAAATCTCTTTCTACACATAGCTCAATTAAAGACTCCCCATTTACATTTACCCCTGGCACCCCAAATTTACCTACTATTCCCTCTATAACATTTTTACCCACTTTAGCATTGAAATCCCCAACCACCATTACTCTCACACTTGATTCAAAACTCCCCACACATTCACTCAACATTTCCCAAAATCTCTCTCTCTCCTCTACACTTCTCTCTTCTCCAGGTGCATACACGCTTATTATAACCCACTTTTCACATCCAATCTTTATTTTACTCCACATAATCCTTGAATTAATACATTTATAGTCCCTCTTTTCCTGCCATAGTTTATCCTTCAACATTATTGCTACTCCTTCCTTAGCTCTAACTCTATTTGAAACCCCTGTAGTAGGTTGTTAGTAGGTTGGTAGACAGCAACCACCCAGGGAGGTACTACTGTCCTGCCAAGTGAGTGTAAAACGAAAGCCTGTAATTGTTTTACATGATGGTAGGATTGCTGATGTCTTTTGTCTGTCTCATAAAT